GTACAAGCAACACCATATAAGGCATGATGAACAAAAGATGTTTGTACCGAAGCTATACCACAATGCAATGTTCGCTCTCAGAAAAGGTCTATGGGGATTAACAATAGACCTTTTCTGAGAGCGAACATTGCATAGACCTTAATAGACCTTATCACTGATATGGCAGCCATCTTGAACTATGGGGTGTCAATGGGTCAAACTTAGAAAATTGATAAAGCATTATAATTGAGTGGGGGGTTGTTTTCTAATAATTTAAAGCAGAGAAGAGAACCCACATAGCATATGCTATGCAATTTAGAGTCTCAATAGTTTTGTTTAATAATTCCCTTTTTTAATGTTTTAGGTCATCCTGGAGTTGCACCTTATTCTGCAAGCAATTTTGCATTACTGGTAAGTAGACATCAAGTACCATGTTCTAGCTATTAGCATRATTGGACGTGTGAAGTTCGTTTATCACTGACAGCTTTCCTATAGCTTTGAGTAACTCAAAAACGTGGCCCTGATGTCGTAAGGGATAGGGTTGAATGACACATCTTCAAATTTTTCCTAAATCATTTTATTTTGAGATGTTTTAGGGAATACTGCGCATGCGCTACCTCTCATACCTGCTATCATAACTCTTGACCAATCAGAGACAAGAATGACACYTACATACAAAGAAACCTTAAATTTGATAATAAAGTTGTTGTTCTACGCGCTTTATTATTATTTTTTCTCATTAATCTGTTTAATAACTGGCCTTGACAATCTGACGTTTGATCCTTATCGCAATTCAACTTTTTTCCAGGGCTATTTTCGTAGCCTTTGACGTGAGGTGTCGAACAGGAATATCAAGATCGTGACTGTTTTACCAGGACCTATTGCAACTAATATCAGGATTCATTCTCTCAGGGATACTTCTGATCCTGTACGTATGGTTTGTTAGGTAGATATTTAGATATTTAATGTTTTGGTTTCAAAGCCGGCACTTTTCGCTACTAGTAGGCTATAACTTATAGCATATGTGTGGGTGGAGGGGGTGGTGGGAGGGGGAAGGGTGTGGTGGGAGGGGAAGGGTGTGGTGGGAGGGGGATCAGAGTAGAGGTGAGAGAGAACAACGAAATAAAGCTTGTAAAACTTTCGTGTCTAAATACACTAAAACGTTTTGTTCTTGTGAAATGATCACCTCGCGCTCGTAATTTAAAACAGACCTTTTTCAAGTTCCAAATTACCCCTGTGTTCCTTGATTATAGACTCATGATTAGCCTCGTGTCAGTGCCTATAAATATTCACAAATACCAACAATAAAATAAAGAATGCGCAACTTCAACAAAAAGAAGCACTTAARAAATCCACGAACTTTCACTGGAAAACATGAATATTCTGCACAAAATGTGGCTAACTTTGAGCAACAGAGTACTCGAACCTTGATTAATATTTGAGTAATTTTTAACTCTCCTTAACCCAAAGGATGCACCAAAAGTAGACCTGAAACAAAGCAAGCCGATGTCAGCTGAACGCTGCAGCTATCTTATGACCGTTGCCATGGTGAACAACGTGAAGGAGGCTTGGATCTGTAATTCGCCCAATCTAAAGCAATTCTACCTCGCTCAATACATGCCGTCACTTTATGAATGGTATGTATGTCATTAGAATGGTTTTGACTGTGAAAAACCCACTGCACGATTACGGTCGTGACATTGCAAGGCATACGCCAGACCAATCACATTGCGCGAGAATTTACTCTCAATCCAATCAAATGCCCGAAACACGGCGCGGACACGGTCACGCCAAGGTCACGCCACTGCCAGACCAAATCAATCAAATTGAACGAGGAAAAAAATCCGCCAATATCAATTCTAGAAAACACGACGGTCACGGTAAGGCACGCATACRRCGCAACGTTTTCACAGTCATACGAATGTAATGCTCTATATATACCAATTGCTTGAAAGACCGTGAATTGGAAGACAGTTCCTTGTTTTTACTGGATCAATCAGACAAATAAATCTTTCCAAAAACGTCCCAGAAAAAAATGTATTTGTGATTTGAACCATTTGCTACAAATTTTGTCTTTTCGACGCCCGTTCGTTCTCAATATTCCCGCCAAATTTTCTGCTCATGCGTAGGGTTCGGTTTTTTTATACTATGGAAATAAACAATCTCGTACCGAGAGCCTGCGTTTCTTCTGGCCTGCGACGAAGAACGAGGGCTCTGGCATAATCCAATTTTTGAGACCAGGATTTCTTGGACTTTCGGTATAAGAGCGCATGGTTTTAAAGCCTGCCAAAAATATAAACATATATAAACATATGTTTCCGATTCCTAATTTTTATCTTTTATTTCTTATTTTAACGCATGATTTTCTTTCATTATATTTCACTTTAAGAAAATTGCACATGCGCCAAAAAATGGATTATGCCAGAGCCCACGTTCTTTGACGCAGGCCAAAACAAACGCAGGCTCTGGTTACGAGATTGGGAAATAAATAAATAGATCGTATTTGTTCTTTTTGTTGTTGTTGTTGTTTTAAAGTTAATACAAAATAACCAGTACCATTGGCCGGCCCTAGGATTTCTTTCAATAACATTAAACGAATACATCGAAATGAATTAAAATCTAAACTATGGTTTATATATTTTCCATTTCAGGCTTTACSAAGGTTGAGAATGCTTTCACAAGTGTAGATCACTCACGACTGTTAGGAGTATATATCAGATATATTGATAATGATRAATGGTGATAACGCATGTAGTTTAGTGAAGAAAGCAAGTAACAGGTAAATCGCAAGCCTGGTTCACACGAGCAACGCAAACCCAAACGCAACCAATGCTCGCACGTGAAACGCCCTTTTGGAAGCACGGGTGGCGTAGCGGTGAGAGCGCTTTCCTCTCGCCAATGCGACCCGGCTTCGAGCCCAGCTATGCTCGGTGTCGTATATGTCGGTTTTTCTCCGGGTTCTCCAACTCTTCCTCCCTCCACAAAAATGGCTGCCTTATCAATTGGGTTGCAAAACCTGTTAGGCTTTCTGTCCAACATGGAGTGGTAAATCTAGTTGGATTAGATTTTGAACAGTCCTCACATCAGAAACGCAAGCACAAGAAAATTAATTGCGTTGCTATGGTTSACACGTGTTTTTGCTTGCGAATCAAGCTGTAGAAACATGTTTTGAGTAAATTTAAAAAAATTTAGAGTAAGTTTTYAGAGTAAGCTAGTGTTTTGTTCTCCCTCGGAATTGGTCTGTACCTTTACGCTTCCTGTACACTGACTTTCGAAGGGAGAAGATCTATGACAACGAAGGTGCTTGAAATAAAAAAATCAAATAAAAATTATAACAACGTACTCCARAACTTGACGCTGAAGCGTTTTATTTTGTTTAGTGATGATAGCTAAGACCGAATACGAACGTCGAAMTTCACCGAGCCGAACCTAGTGCCATGAAAGAAYACCGCCTTATTATCCATTTTTAATGCATACGTTTCATGTGAAATTGATCTGAACCTTCAAAGGCGCATGAATAATTAATGAGCCTTTGAACTTATTTGGTAATACGCGTCACATGCATGAACCTTTAAACCCCATAAAGTCCTCTTCATTAGTATTCTTTATCGAATTTTGTTATATTTTTATTACTTTTAAACCCAATAAAACACTCTTGCTCGTTTGTTAAGCAGTACGTAGAATACGATAACGCGGTAATGATCCTTGGTATAGCACGGAAAATTTGTCTGGTATAGGACCAATGGACTTGAAAATGTGGGATGGAGCGGTGATTAGTGTAGATAACTATGCAGGATCTTTGGTCATTTTGTTCCCGRCTCGATACTGATTACAAAAACAGCTTTTCTTGACCGTTTTAAATAGCGCTGGATAGATTTCGGACGATAAATTGAGGTGCAAAAGGTGCAACTTGGATTTTTCACTGACCCCTTCGCAGAGCTCCATGTGTCCTGTTCAACTAGAAATAAAAAATGGCAGACAAGGGGACGATGGCGCTACAAAATCAAGGCTTATTCCTCGTTTAATTACGACTGATGTACAGCCAGAGATAAGTTAAGTAACTACAAACATTAAGTCGTGAGGAATCTTTGGTAACAGGAGTTATGTTTTTTTTTTTTTTTTATGTCAGTATTGGCTTTGCTAGTTGTCATGGTAACCCAAGTTTCAAAGGTTGCAAAATCTTTTCTTGTGACCCGAGATTCAATTGCACGAGTAAACAAGTTCTTCTTTACGTGATATTTTCCCTCCAAAACTTTTCACCATATCAAGTGTTCGGTGCAATTCTACTAGATTCAACTAGACTCTGCCATTGCATATATGCATGCACATATTCAGTTTCTGGGAAGAGTTTCATCATGGTCTGTACTTCACATAGCCTTTGACAGAATTCAAATCGACCACGTGATGCTAATGTTGTACCACGTGGACAATTTTTTAAACCAAGTGATCGGAGTGCAATCAAGTTTTCATCACGTATTGAGAAAAAAAAACATGCCCACGTGGTACAACATTGGCATCACGTGATCGATTTGAATTGCACTTGTGGTTTACATAACAGACGCTACGAAGGCGATTAACAAAATCCCAACTGCCTCGGTCTACTGGGAAGAGTAGTAATTTTGCTTTTTTCGACTCATGATTTGAACCTCGAGTAATCGACATAATAACCATGGCCACCTTCATTATCAACAACCACCATACTCATGCGATGCTTATTAGGTCCTGGCTAAACGAGGAAGCATGTTTCCCGCGCGCAAGTTTTCACGATTTTTCCATGCAACAAATTTTGCTTCCAAGACGCAAAAAATATTTCTGCTGTGGGGGAGAAACATTTCATGCTTCCAAGACGCATGGAAACAATATTTCCCGATGTTTCCTCGTTTAGCCACGTAAGTCAACATTCTAAAAGTTCGTTACTTAGCAACGCTAGCTCTATCTTGAAAAAGCGCAAGCTCTAACCGATGTTGAGTAAACATGTTTCCCGATATGTTAAGTGTATGTAATGTTAAGTGTATGTTCCCTGACAGTTTTGCCACCTTTGAAAACATTTAAGAAAACATGTTTCCTCGTTAAGCCAGGGCCTTACGAAAACACGACATCAAAGACTCTTTCTCGTTTATTCTATAATATGCTTCCAGTTTTAGTAAGAACTTCACTTATACGTCTCAAAGTTATTCTAGAGACATTCGTACCAGTAGTACTAATGTAACTCAAATGTCTCTATATCTAAGTAATTCAAATTCCTTTTATAAAGATCACATGATGACTTAAATATATAAATACAATTCGGATTAGTTACTTTCTTTGCTTAAATGCCTTGAAGCCTGTATAGAGGCTTGAGTTTTCACATGACGTCACATATGTTTTTACATGACGTCACAGCGCCCATGTTGGTGTACCAAAACAATACACGTTCTATCCTCCGTTAATTGAGCTTTATTTTTATGCAAAACTTGTGCAGTAAGTTTCTATTGTCTGGTACACCAATATGGCTGCCTTGTCACGTGAGTGAAAACGCCCTATCTATCAACTAACTATGTACAAAGCCTTATGTCTATTTCTCTTGATTGATATATTCCTCCGAGTCTTTTGTCATTCTGTATGGGCGCGTTCATGTCTCTTTAGAGTACTCTGTTGTCTAAATGCCTTATTACAGTGTGAACACTGGTATGGTTTGACACCTGTATGGGAACGTTTATGTATCGTCAGATTGCCCTGACGGTTAAATGCCTTGTTACAGCATRTACATTTGTATGGTTTTTCGCCTGTGTGGGTGCGTTCATGTATCTTTAGAGTRGCGTTTTCACTAAATGCCTTGTTGCAATATGTACATTTGTATGGTTTGACACCCGTATGGATACGTTCATGTCTTTTTAGATTACCCTGTTGTGTAAATGCCATGTCACAGTACGTACACTTGTAGGGTTTCACTTCTGTATGGGTACGCTCATGYGACGTTAGATGACTTTGTTTTTTGAATGCTTTGTTACAGTGKGTACACTTGTAAGGTTTGACACCTGTATGGATACGTTCATGTGTCTTCATATTGCACTGACGTGTAAATGTCTTATCACAGTATGTACACTTGAATGGTTTGTCACCTGTATGTATACGTTCGTGTTTCTTTAGATTACCCGGTATTGAAAATGTCTTGTCACAGTGAGAACACTTGTATGGTTTTACTCCTGTATGGACACGTTCATGCGTCTTTAAAGAACACTGAAATGTAAATGTCTTATCACAGGAGGAACACTTGTATGGTTTGACACCTGTATGGATACTTTCATGCATCCTCAGACTTTTCAATTGTGTAAATGCTTTATTACAGTATTTACACTTGTATGGTTGGACACCTGTATGGGTACGTTCATGTGCCTTAAGACTATTTGAATGTCTAAATGGCTTATCACAGTATGTACACTTGTATGGTTTGGCACCAGTGTGAATAAGTTCATGCTGCTTTAAATGAATCTGATATGTAAATTCTTTGTTACAGTATGTACACTTGTATGAAGTGGTACCTGTATGGATACGTTCATGTGTCTTTAGTATACTCTTTTGAGTAAACGCCTTATCACAGTGTGTGCACTTGTACGGTTTGATCCCTGTATGGATGCGTTCATGTGACTCTAGATTACGCTTGCGTATAAATGCCTTGTTGCAGTATGTACACTTATATGGTTTGACTCCTGTATGGATACGTTCGTGTCTTACCAGATCATTTTTTCTTTTAAATGCCTTGTTACAGTAGGTGCAATTGCGTGCTTTTTCGTTTGTTGGTTTGGCACTTGTGTGAATAAGTTCATGTTTCTTTAAATTAATCTGATATGTAAATTCTTTGTCACAGTATGTACACTTGTATGAAGTGACGCCTGTGTGAATACGTTCGTGGTTCTTCAGAGTACCTTGTCGAGTAAATGCCTTATTACAGTGTGTGCACTTGTATGGTTTGATTCCTTTATGGATGCGTTCATGTGCATTTAGATAGCGCTTAATTGTAAATGCCTTGTTGCAGTATGTACACTTGAATGGTTTGACTTCTGTATGGGTACTTTCATGCCTTACAAGATCACTTTTTCTTTTAAATGCCTGGTTACAGTAAGTGCATTTGCGTACTTTTACATTTGGTGGTTTTGCACCTGTGTGGATAAGTTCATCACCTTGTTCTTCTGATTTTTCATTGACATGTTCTTGTGATATCTGTTGCGAACTGGGTAGGGTCTCCTCATCTCTATCATTGAAGCAACCACTATCCTTTAATGAATTGCTGTTTTCTATAAAAAATATATTGATATTGAGAACTGATTAGAGGTGGTGACGCAACCATAAGGGTTTCTTTCAGTCATGCACTTCTCTCTACAACAAGTCATGCCTCTCTGCAGCAAGTCAATAATATGCTGTTTTTTCATGGCAAATTACAGCCATTAATGCTGAGGTGGTATCTCTCAATTGTAAAAGGAAAAGAGATCACAGGATGGAAAGAATGGAAGGATAGAAAATGAAATGTATAGAAAGATAGGCTTGAGCATGAATGGAAAAGGGTAATGGATAATCAAAGGGCCAATCAGACAGATAGAGACAATCCATTGGGTGAATAGATAGAATACATGGTATGAATGGCATACACTTATTGGATTCATTCGAGCCCATTTGGGGCAACAGAATATTGAAGTTGAGACCTAAATGTCTGCCATAATGGGCGAGGATGAATCATGTAGTTGTTTTATTATATCGAACAAATAATTTCATTTAATTTTTTTTATAGTGCCACAATAATAAGTTTATTTGGAGTCCAATAGGTTGCTGCCCAATATAACAAAATCATGGATCACCGCGTGACTAAAATATGGAGATGTGAATGGAGGATTATTGGATTAATGCAAAGATGGATAGATGAGATTAATCATAGTTGACAACTATGGATTAATGGATGGTTGGACATAGTAGGATGCATTGCCACCAACAGTAAAACAACTTGAAACAAATTAGCCTAAGTTTAATTTGTACAAAAGATAAGCACTATTGACGTACCTTGTTTAACATGTTTCTTCAAGCTTTGCATCTTCTGTCCATTACTACAGCCACAGTCATCAGTCTCTGTACACTGGATGTCTTCACAGGATACTGACAGTTGGCAATCATTGTTGTTTAACTAAACATACAATGATACAAAGTTATGCCAACAGGAATTCCAAGGGTGGATCCAGGGGGGGCAAAGTGGGGCTGAAGCCTCCCTTCAGTAGAAAAACCAAAACAAAACAAAACTGAAGAATTAGATGCTTTTTTTTATTGTTTTCCATTGTGTTTCCGGCCTAAACTCAATTAGCCCCCCCCTAAAAACCTGTTTGTAGAGATCAAGATAAAGATAATAAAAGGTGCTTGGAACACATATCAGAATCTCTATGCATTTACAAAAATTGAAAAGAAAACTGAGACATTAAATATAATGGCATGGAGGTAAATATTCAAATAAAATAATTAAAACAAGTGGATTTTGACATTTTGAGAATTAGAAGAACTGTTAAGAATTTTTAGACTTACTTGATCAGTACCACCTGCCCATCGATGTTTTCCTGTTTTCTTGTCATAGTAGAACAGAATTTCTCCTGATTTACATTCATATCCACACAAATCTGGATTACTTTCATCTGGTTTTGTCATGGAAATCTGTTGAGTAGCAAAATTTTGGTTTACAAATTGACAGTCTCATCAACGATGAAGTAATGTATATATTGAACAGAGCAAAAGTGATAAGATGGGAAAATGCTGCACCTAGGTTAGAGTGAAGTCACTAAATCTGTGAAACAGATATTAGACTAATACACATTAGTAGACCCTATTTCCATCTTTTTCTTTTGTGTCTATTTGACTATTACATGTTGACTRGTATTTTTGTTTTAAAAATCATTAAAACATGCAGTTAATGTATGTTTTATTTTACCAACATAAATAGTATTTATGATTAGCTTGGAGAATAGAGAGAAATATTTTGAATCTTCTGAAGATGATGGACATTACAAAGCTTTTAGTTAGTGGAATCCATTCCAGTGAAGTGATTGGGTYATAAAATAAATATAAACCCAGTGAAGTGATTGGGTTATAAAATAAATATAAACCCCTTCTTGCTCACTGGAATATCGGCTGATAATGTTCTTGGATGAGAAATGGTCCTCAAAATCATCTCCTCAAAATATTACATATGCCCTCAAAGCTTTGCTTCTCAGTGAACTGTTCTTTACGACCATTTTTCATACTTCAACATTATCAGCCAATATCCCAGGTCCCTGTTTACCCCATTGCCTAGCAACCAGTAATTATTAGCAGTCTACTTACGTTATCACCACCTGCCCATACGTGTTCTCCTGTTGTTTTGTTATAGTAGAACAGAATCTGTCCTGATTTACACTCATATCCAAACCAATCTGGATCTAATGCTTCTCCCTCTGCCATGGTTGATTGATCTACAAGCAGTGAAAATAGGTTTTTCAGGCCTCTACCAAATTAAAGAAATATTTAATAACTATTTGAATAACTAACAACTTTGTTGCTCTCTGCCTTGCCTCAAGCTTTTTTTTTCTGGCTCCTCCAGTTTTCCTCCCTTTATAAATATCAACATGCGTGTTGAGTGTTGTATGGATAAAATAGTAAATGTAGTAGTAGTGCGTGAGTGAGTGAAAGCAGGTTCTCATCGGTGAAATTAAACCACCCTCCCCCCCCCC